ATCATGACAGAAATTGTGAAACAAATCAAATTTCCATCAACCCTTCATATACGAAGAGAAAGTAAGATGGATGCGCCGATAAAGGTACATGAAAAATTAACTTTTCGAATACATTAATCAGGTATCGGTACTAAGAATACAAGTTACACCAATAATTTACATGCTACCGGTACTGAGCTGTATTTTTTTATCCTATAGCCAAAGTACCCCGTGGTGTAAGCCGAAATCGTTTCGAATCGAAATAACTGCTGTAATCGAATGCTTCAACAATCGATTTAATTAGAATTATCGGTACTTTTTAAGTACAGTTGTGAGCAATGGTGTTTGATTTGTTTCTTTTATCACATTTTATAAATCTTTTTGGAACAATTTTTTTATGAGTTTTTTTTATGGGGGGAAAATCATAGAATGACTGCTCCCGCCTGGGTGAGGTGGAAGGAAGTGTTAGACTCTTACTGACTAAATACCACCCCGTTCCTTCTCCTGCACTTCGTGCCGGAGCCCCGGTAACCCATTAGGTTATCCGCGGCTCCGTAACCGCGCGGTACGCGACGGGTCTGATTCTGGTCGGGCGGCGAGCCACCCATGCTCGCCGTCCGCAGGCCCGCTTTAAGCCGGTAAACGAGCAAACGGTCATCCATCAGGTTATTCGGATGGTAGTTTTAATCTGTTTTGTATGTTGGAAATAAGTCAGCGTATATAAGAAGGAAAAAATAGAAAATAATGGATAAGTAGGTGTTCATCCAGTATGCTGACGTGTCAACCATTATTTTGTATGTTTGTTCAAAAACAAAAATTATAAGTCAAATATAATTTTTACTACAACATGACAAAAATATTTACAACAAACACCCACCCATTTGTAAAATATGCATACTCTATTATATTAGGAAATACCTAGCGCCCAAATGCCTTGGCACCGCCCGAACTCAGGTCATAAGTTCGCACATATAAATACAGTCATATAATATAAGAAACATGTGAACTTTATAACAACATTTCATGAATATTATGTCAACCATTTCCTAGTTATTTGAAAAGCGTGCTAAGTGTAAATATTTTCTATTGGGTGTTCGTGTTTCCGTGTGTATATAGACGTTTCTTTGTCAGGGATTAAAAATGTTGTGTTGTCAGTTTTTTTAAATAGAATTAATATCAACTATAACTAAATGAAAATATATACAACTTAAAATATAAATAACTATGAACTAAAATATTTACACCTTAAAAAAAAGGTAATAATAAATAAATAAGCTATAAGGCATCAAAAAAAAAAAATTTTCCTCAACATTATCGTGAGGTAGGGTGCCCAAAAGACTGGCAGCATTACCACGTTGAATGGCAATGCTTAACCTTTGTCCAAGGTAGAAGCCAGCCCTTCGATCACCTGAAGTGTCAACCATCCTCTTTACAATATCTTTGTAAAGAAGATGTGCACTTGGGCCCCACGGCCCTAAAGTTTCAACCCCAAACGGTTCGAAAGCATAATTGCCAATCAGGCTATCATACTTTCGCCGTTTGAGGTTCTCGGCAGCAGCAGCGGCAGCACCGGCTCGACACGCTGAGTTTGGAAGATGGGATGGCGCCAGAGTATCAACGCAAGTGGCGTCCCATACTAAAGGCCTACCCATCTTCCAAGGGAATAATGACATACCGTCGGGTCTCTTGCCATCGTTGCGTACCAAGCCATTAGGTTCTAAAGTAGCTGGCACGCCAACGGAGACAAGAGCTCGACGAATTATGTCATTAATACTCGCGTGTCGAGCAAAACGACCCGCACTACGGCTACACGACAAGCCGTGGTGTCCAAGGCTGTTGACATCTTCACCACAACGACAACGATGAGGTGAACAAAATGAAGCCCCAAGCCTTAAACAAATTGCAGCGCGGAATGTGGTGTCGTCCAACAAAGTACCTAAGTTGGACGAAGGCAAAGCAAGAAGCCATAACCCTGACTCCCACTCACCCACAGCCAAAAGGCGAGCTCGCTCTGCAGTTGAACAAGCGGAGTTCAATAGATTTTCGTTCACTTTCCTGCAGAGCGGCTCGTCCCATTGTCTCTGGGAGAGTGATTTGACGGGGGGGTCAATATTTGGGCAAGCGATTTTCCAAGCTTTCACAGCTTCCACTAAAAATGGTACATCAAAATTAACCAGTGATTGAGAAAGAATTTTCCTGGTTAATTCTTCAGTACCATGGGCGGAAGATATGAAAGCTGGTAGGCTAATTAATAGAATTGGTTTATTGTATTGATAACTTTGAGGCGAGGTTTCTTAATATAGTTGATTTCTCCGTCTATGCTTTAGACTGAAGTACAAAGTCTGTCATTAACAGTTAGCATAAGATTCAGTTATTTTTTTCGTATGGTAGTTAGTTAGTTAGCTGGTTTCCAAAAATTCATAGAAATTACACCATTAAAATGATTTTAACTAAAAATCGCGGGTTACTCACGTGACTATATGGAGAAAAGCTCTACTAGTTTAGTAGGCTGCGCGACGTCGCCGCGACCGCGCACGCTACTCATGAGGAAGAACCTCTGTGGTTCGAAACTAGTAGAGCTTTTCTCAGTATATTCACGTAAGTAACCAGCGATTTTTAGTTAATTTAGTATGTCAAACGATAGGTTTTCTTCAACCTTAGTTATATTTCTTCAACAAAGGTAAACAGATTTTCTTCAACCTACTTACCTATAGGTACAACTTATCAGACAAAGGTTCTTGATGTCCATATATATGTCATTTTAACAGTACACAAACAAATACAAAGCATACCTAAAAAATACCAAACCCACGAACGCTTCTCTCGCCAAGTGTACAAGAGCGGCATACTATATGCGTCGTCGATCCCTTAAAGACACGAACCCACAAATAAAACATATCCACAACCCCTACTGAGTTGTATATCTCATCGGTACTGTATAATTTTATATGCAGTGTCCATAATTTATACATTGATGTATGCATATAGTAGCGGGAAAAGGATTTTTTATAAGATTTATGTGGCCAATTAAGATTTGGTATTGTGTATTGGTTTTGGGATATTGTTCTTTGTTTTTGTACGGTTATACGTAAGGGGACAGATTTTATTACGTACTTTTATGGTTTTTTTTAATACATATTTGAATGGATAGACTGCCTCGTTGGCCGAGTGGTCGCAAGTGCGTCTGCCTGCTCGGGTTCGAATCGCGGGTCGGGCAAAGTATTACTGGGTTTTTAAAAATTCTCAGTAGTAGCACGGAGTCTGGAATTGTGCCCGGTATATGGCAATAGGCTCACCCCCTATTACATGGGACTCATAACATAAATAGTGAAAAGTGAGTATTATGTGTTATGTTAGTGTTATGTTATATGACAAAAGTGTGATATAGACTAACGAATTAATTGTAGGAACACATTAAGCTATACCAGATTACTACAAACCTGATATATTTTTTGTAAGTAAACTTAGTGCACACATGTCATAATATATCAACCAGATGTACCTATACGAAAAATAAAACAAAAAACTAAAAATAACTAAGATAACCCATATAAACTACACATAGAACCATCTCAAATTACAAACTTAACCTCCTATTAAAATTCACACACCTTAACCTGTACTAGATTACTCGAAAGCACATCTAAACTACATCGATTACATCAAAATCGAATGCGGTATCGATTCCAGAGAATCGAGAACACAGCAGACGGCACATATATTAATACGTTGAACTCCGCAATAAAATTAGCTGACAACGCTAAATAAGTGCCGGGAAAGGCATTTATAAGTAATCGATATCGGTATTCGGTATGCAACCGATTCTAAGATTCGATTTATTAAATTTTGCTTCAGGTGTTGGGTTTAAAATGAGAATAGATTCGTTGTTTGCTGGTTTATAATGTTAGGCTTTTGTTTTTATATTGTTCTGGCGCCGTGTAGCATTTTGTTTAATTTTTTTTTTAAGTTTTGGTGTCTGAGTCTGAAAAATCTGAAAGACAGGGACTGTCTGAAAGAGTGCAAGACTCTTTTACGTTATTCTACGTCTAGATTAATTTGTAGATGGTTTATTAATTGTATTGTGTTTCAGATTCTGTTCATTAGAGAATACAGGGTGTGTAATTGCCACATGTATAAGTTTGGGAGAACTATGCTCCGGCATGAATGGGCCGACTCGACCGGAGTGATACCACGACCTCATAGATAACTGACGTGAAACAACGCTTGCGGTTTGTTTCGTCGTGTGAGTGAGGTTACCGAAAGCCCAATTATCCCTCACCCCTTTCCCAATCTACCCGATTCCTGAATCCTAAACAATCCTCAAATTCCTAATCCCCAAAGGGCCGGTAACGCACTTGTAACCTCTCTGGCGTTCCAGGTGTCCTTGGGCGACGCGGATTACTTACCATCAGGTGATACGTCTACTCGCTTAACGGCTTATCACATATAAAAAATATCCTCATCTATGGCATTCATTACAGTTAACTACCCAAATCTTTCATAGATAGAACCCATTTTTCTTTGTATCTTTTACAATATTTCCAAAGAATTATACATAATATAACAATTCGTAAAGTAATAACACTTCGCACAATTTCCGAAAACCCGAGCAACTTCTAACAAAACCAATCTCCACCTAATTATTTGAGGGCACCCTATTTCATAGTAGTGTATGTATGAATTTAAGGAATGATGAGACTTTCCTTATTTCAATTGTTATTTAGTACTGTGTTAAGGCAAAAAATTAATTCACCGTGTTTGATTTATAAAGGACCTTAATTATACAATATGTAAGTATAGTTTTAATAAATTGTTACTTTTAAATTATTACGTAAACCAATGCTGATACTACGCATGATTTTTGTGTAGTCATGTGTTGTTTCGAGTGAAGTCATAAATGAATGTATCATACAATTTATTTTTAATTCAAAAGTGTTGTTTTTGCTTACTATTAATAATATTCATATCCAATAAATTATAGCCTACACCATAAAGTCCTAAATCAATCTAGGTCCACTTACCTTGGAAGTAACTCTTGGTCCGCAGGTAGCTGACGGACAGCCGCAGGATGGACAGCCTGTCCAGCTTGCTGAGGATGTTCTGCTCGAAGGGTAGGAGTGACGCCAGAGTGTCCAGCTCCGCGTTGAGGCGCTCCCTATGTCTCTTGCTAGGGTTGCTCTTTGTGACGCCGTCTTTTGATGGAGGCTTGATGCTGGAAAGATGGTTTAAGAGGTCAGTTTTTTTCAAATGTTAGAATTTGATGAGTTATTAGTTTTGCTGTAAAACTATCATAGCTTTTATAAATAATACGTTTTCACGACATAGAATTGACTGTCTACATTTTCTGAACTAGTTGTATATGGTAAAGTTCAAAAGAATTAAGACTTTTTTTAAATTGTGGATGAATTTATGTTTTTTCTGTTATTGCAGGAGTTGAGTGAACTACAGAAAAAGACAAAAGAACTCTAGGGATGTCAAAAACGGACTAATGACGTCATACACTGTGACTGGGTCGTGGTGGTCCGAAGGTTTAAGACGCCCGCTTCTCAAAAGCATGACCGACCGGCCCGGGCTTGAAAATCTACCACTGTACAACAACGGCAAGTACCATTGTGACTTTTTCCGAGTTATATATGTACTTTCTAAGATTATTTAGATCACTGACAAACGATAAAGGAAAACATCGTGAGGAAACCTGGGCTCATAATTTCTTATTATAAGTTTGAAATCAGCTACCCGCATTGAGCAAGCTTGGTGATTAATGCTCAAACCTTCTCCATGCGACAAGTATAGCATTGTAGGCATTTGGTCAGCAGCAGTTAGAGGCTGTTGATATGTATGTGTGACGTCATACAGATAATAATCTTTCTAAATCAGTATCATCAACTGTACAACCTACATTTTGACCCATACAGTTAAAAATACGCAACGAAACCAACCTATTACGAAAATAGCATACTAAACTAAGCAAGGGTTAACCAACCTTCATAAGTAATTGAAAATAAAATGTTACTTCAGTGTACAGCGCCTAATGTGATAGGCTTGTCCTTTGTCATATTGAACTTAATGCTGCCATTACATTACTTATTGTTGATATTGATACCTCTAGGGAGTTTCGGGTCAAAGGTAATGTCATTTTATGAACTGTTTCGAAACAAATTTATTTTCTACTAGTTAAAACCGTAACTTTGTCTGCGTTTTTTGAAATGAAAAGTAGCCTATGTTACTTCTTAGTTCATTAGGTACCTGCCAATAAAAGTTTCGACAAAATCAGTCCAGCCATTTCAGAGATTAGACAGTATAAACAAAGAGACAGCAAGAAAAAAAAAATTATTTTGGTATAGGTACCTATCATGCATGTAGTAAAAGGCTGTTATTTCAATATTACGAAGACACATGTAAATTCAAGTTATCTGTATAGATCTTTATTTTGTGAGTCAAATTTAAGTTGATGTAGTTTAGATTGTCATATAATGTTGGTATGTTTGTATTATTGTTGAGAAATGAGGTAAATGGTGTTACGTTTCATTCAAGGCGTTCACAAAAAGAAAAAATAAATAGATACCTACGAAATGATGAGTACCGTTCATCTTTTCTTAGAGCATTTGTCTTAAATGTTATAACATACTGTTTTGTTTTTTTAATGTTGTAGGTACCTAATACTTTGCTTTAACAAATATCGGTCATCTTCTCATAAACTGTAATTTTTAAGAGTTTTAAATCAAATAAATTTTCTAAAAAATATTTTAATATGGAATCAAGCTCGTGCTTAGTTGAAATACCAATTGGTATCAGATTAAATTAAATAAACTTCTTCATAATACATTCCTTTGTGTAATTAAGTTTTCATTCTTCTTTTTACAATTATTAATTTCTGAACTAACATGCAATACTAGCTTGTAGCTTTTAGCATATCAACTTTTTGTTCACTTCTAACTATTTATTGCTGTTAAAAATAGACTTCGAGCCAAGCTGGAATGTTGAATATTATTAATTTACGACTGTGTTTCTTAAACCAGATTATTTATGAGTATTTCTTGAAAATTAGGCACGAAAACTATTAAAAAAACTAAGCCCCGAAAAAACTAAGCTCAAAACATTATCCTAAGAAATTCACACCTCAGCGTTACCCTACATTATGCGCTCATAACACCATTTTATTTTGGATCATTCATTTCTAAGAGGCTATTTAAAATGACACATCACATTACGGACCTGTGTAACGGTAGCATTCGGCCAGGCCAGGCTAACGAGCCTCGGGTCACGCAAACCAACTTGTTAGCATAACTTATGCCGACGGATAAGGGGTGAGCTTACTGCATTATTGTGCTTAGTTTTTTAGTGAAATTGTGCTTACTTTTTTACTTTAGTTTGGAGCCAGCGGCGGCTTTCTGTTACGTTTGAGGTTTTGTTTAATTGTGTTTAAATTGTGCAGTTTTTTATTTTACCTGAACAAAGGAATTGTGAAACTGTTTTTGATTTGAATACAACAAATAATGTAAAGTTACATTGTAGTTTTTTATAAATATAATCGTTTTCTTACATACACACTTCTTTTTTAGGACGATTGACATCTGTTTGCGACCGGAGATACACACATACATGCATTGACATAATTTAAAATAACACAAAGATAAAAAAGTAAGAACTATTTTACATCTCCAGTAGAGTACGAGTAGATTATGTTCAAAGTGTAGGACAGGATTGACAGTTTATAAATTGCACTTTACAGCTATTAAATTAAATGCTAGTTTGTTATGCAAGAAGTGAGTGACCCTGAATGTAAATATCGATGGCGTCTATGTGTTTTACTTGACAGTTAACATGTTAAAATGTTTATTGATAGGTTCATCTCTAACACTTTATAGGAGAACGAAAGATATCGTGTTTATGTCTCAAAAATGAGGCTAAACCGCCTCTGAGACTTCCAGATCAGTAATTTGTAAGCGACCTGCATCCAGCGAATTCTTGCTTGCTCTTTCAGGTCTATCGATATATTTTTTGAGGGGTAAATCATCCATTAACTTCTTCCACCTTGGCTGAGGAGTCGAGAGGGAGTGTCAGACTCATAATGACTAAAAACCACCCCGTTCCTACTTCTGTTGTTCGAGCCAGACCACAACAACCCGTTAAGTCCTCACGGCCTGTCCATCGTATGGGTATATCTTGCGCTGTGCTTACCGGTATGTGGCCTCCTATATTCTAGAACTGTTTTGCCCCTTCGGCTGTCAGTACTATGTCGTATGTTAACGTGTTTATATCTCAGAAGAATTACGTCAAAAATGTAATGAGAGTAACAAAAAGGAGATGTTACGTTACAAAGTAGTAACTTAATAACCGATAAATATAAAGAAAAAGATGTAAGACGAAAAATGTCGAAGTAAACCAATCATCTGCGCTTACGTCCATACGTATTAAGTTAGTTTCTTTGAAGTATCTCATTATGTTATTAAATACTGACTATCTAGATTATAGCTCTTATGTTGGGACCTACACTAGTTCTACTGGCGAAGATGTTTTATTTATTAAAGTTGCTTCTTGGGTGACTGCCTCATTGGCCGGGCAAGGGGTCTTGGGTTCGATTCCCGGGCCGGGCAAAGTATTACTGGGCTTATAAAAACCTCAGTAGTAGCATGGAGTCTGGACATGTGCCCGGTATATGGCAATAGGCTCACCTATCTGTAACATAGGACTCCTAACAGAAATAGTGAAAAGTGGGTGTTACATTGTACAGTGGTAGTGCCGTAATGTGCACCTCTGCCTACCACTTTGGGGATAAAAGGCGTGATGTTACTACATTAGACTAGATTTATCTAAAATTAATAATATTTATTTTGTTTTATCTAATGAATAGAACCACACCGGTTCCAATGATGAATTGTAGTTTAATTTTTTTAATAACCATATTGTTTGAAGGTAGTTATATTTCGTAGTTTTGTTTGTTTTTCTATAATTTGTTTATGAACCTCATTCGAAATGCGTTAATTTAAATTAGATATAGAACAGAGGTTGTGGAGTCGACTTTACTTATTACTTTTTTTATACTTTAATAATGTAGTGTAAAAGATTTTTTATTAACTTAAGTTTAGGCCGACAATATTTTCGTTGATAAATTATTTTACTTAAGTTATATTGAATTATGGAAGTAAAATTAAATCAACATTTAATTAAATGGTTTGCTCATTAGATCTATTATGATGTCATCAATATTGGGACTCATCAATGAAAACAGAAATATAGGTAAGTGTCGAAATAAAAGTAAAAACACTAGGTACATTTTTCTAGTAAAGCAATAAATTTAATTGTTACGAGGTACAAAACATACTCTAAACTACTCCAATCATTTCCCAGTCCAACACAAATTATAAATAGTACATTAGTCATCGCCGCCCGTCGTTTTTGTTGATTTATTCAAACGTTAGTACCAGCGGCGCACGCGCAACCCTTTGATATTACTACCATACAATTTGTATTCATACAACATTAAACTGTCATTTAAATTATAACTTTAATCCCAAAAACATAGAGTTGGTTTTAAAATGAACATCGAAAGTGCAAGTGCCGTATAAATCAACACCGATTATTTCTATAAATCGTAACTCGATTAAGTTATAATCGATTGGCGATTGTGATAGGTATCGTTATAATCGAGAGATATTTATTTTTGTTATGTTATTTCCTTTTTTTGTTACAATCTTGTTATTTGTGTTGACAAATGGTTACGTGAGATAGTTTGGTTTAATAACATGTTTGGGTGTTTTTTAAACATCAGAGTCTTAGCTCGACACTCAGTTAGTCTGCTCTTCGCAATCATTAATTAATCGTAATAGATTGCTGATGTGAGTCTATATTCAATTATCACACTTCACACAATTGATTATCTTCAAGCCAAAAGGATAAGCAGTTACTATGTTTCTTAGGAAGGGTTGCTAGAGACAGAGTACAATATAAATTGTTAGAGGAACACTGTACTCAGAGACAATCTATGACTAATGAGATAACCACAGAACAAAGAAAGTAGAAAACAGTTCAGGATAAGAGGCTTATTATTATTATTATTGTACCTATATTTGATGATGACTGCCTCGTTGGCCGAGTGATCGCAAGTGCGACTGCCGGGCAAAGGGTCTCGGATTCGATACCCGGGTCGCGCAAAATATTACTGGGTTTTTAAAAATAAATTCAGTAGTAGCACGGAGTCTGGAATTGTGC